GGAGAAGCTTTTTAAAATTTTCTTTTGCTATCTCTGGTCGTCGTTGCTTTATATCAGCGATGGACAGAGAGAGCTTTTACTCTGCACGTTTTCTATACAAAATGTATACCGCTTTTTAGATGAGTTCAGAATAAAAGAGCTCTCCAGGTAACATAGATCTAAATCGGTAACAAATAAAAAAACCCGCGGGCAAAGCTTTTTAAAACTTTCTATAGATGTGATATTAGTGATTTCGGTATTACGATACAATAGTATTGCAAGTGGCAGGGGGAACTAGATGTACTCACTCTTTATAACTAATCAAGTCGTTCCTATGGAGGTTGGTCGATAGAAATTATGCAGTAAGGCTCAAGATAACCTAGGCGATGGGGTCGTATGTATACGGTGACCATAAATATGGATTCAAAATGAAGGACAATTTTTCAAAAATATGCCTACATATATTTACGTAGTATAAAAATATCAAAAGAGTATTTATGATTCTAAATTCTTAATACATTTTAAACTTTAAATATGAATCACGTTTTCTTCATCGATATTAATCTTTTTTACATGAATATTTATAAAAGTATAGTAAAACATATTATAATTAAAATAGTTTACACGAAAAGTGAAAATCTTTCAAAGATTATTTTATAGGCAAATTTTGAGTCGTTCAAAACGAAAACAGTACCCTTTTTTGTTTTTTTGGTACTTTTCGCAGTTATTTGTCAAAAATCGAGGTCATGAATCGACGTAAACGACGAGTTACAAAGTGCCCTTTACAAAAATATATAATTTGTGCAGATTTCGCTCCATAGCATTTACATTTCTAATCCGATTTTCATTATCTTTGGCTCAAAATTTACTGTAGTTATATATCTTCTTTATGGAATTTTTAAAATAATGAAAAAAAAAATAATCAAATGAAACTGCGTATTTGAATGAAAATCTCACTTTTTTCGACTTTGACGACAAAATGCAAATGGTCGCCTGTAGCACTAATAGTTTTCATTGAAGTCGCCACAAGTTATATATTTTGGTAAGAGGCACATCAATACTCTTCGGGCTGTAAGTCGCTTACGTTGATTGGGAGATTTTTTCATGAGATATTGAAGAAAAGCTACGAAAAGTACCCAAAAAAAATCCATCCATTGTCCGATAATTTTAAATTAACGAATAAAATGCGGGACAAATGCAGGACACTTGGAAAAAATCAGAACATTTTCTGGTTTTTCAGGTTTGAAAAACTACGCAGGACCGACCATTGCAAAACAGTACGGTCCTGCAAAAAACAGAACGGATGGTCACCGTACGTATGTAGGACCTCCGATTATTCTCCGTCCATCTTCGCAAGGTCGAAATTTAAGCTTTTAAGTTTATCCTAGTGAGTAAAAATACGTATTCGAATTGAACGTGTTTTCATAAAATTGAACCCAAAAGCTCTCTCTCCTTCAAACATCCCTCTACCATCAAAAGACACTAAGTATTTATCATTCAAAAACAACTTAAGTTCGCATGTTCCCAACCACTTTGGCTACTGTAAAAACTTTTTATGGTAATAGTGATTAGCTAAAACCGAGTGGAGAACTGCTGACATGCAGCTGCGCGCAATAAGACAATTTTATTTCAACCATAAGCAGCAATTAGTGACAGCGGACAGATATACCGACAAGTAAGCGGACAGATCAACAGGCGACCTACAAATATACATAGGAGTATTTACTGTAGTGAATAAGTCACATATGTATATTTGTATGTAAGCACATCTACACTGAATAAGAAGGTAATCCACGACCGAACGTAATTCATCCAAAAAGCGCGCACGCTAAGTTGTTGGCAACTATATATAAGTATATATCAGTGAATACCACTCCAAGTTGGCTGCCGACGACAGTGATCGCACTCATAAAGATCTCAACATGCCAGACCACACAGGCGACACAGTTGCTGTCGCCGCTACTAGTGGTTCGCCGATGCCGCCTCAGCCGCTTCAGCCGCCTCGGTCGCTTGTTGCATTTATGTACAATGCGGCATAACTCTTTTATGCTGGAACTCCTTGAGAGCGACAGCCGAGCAGCAAGCAAGTCGTCCAGCTCCGCAGCGACAAGCAAGCGATGACCATATGTGCGCATGCGCGATCGCGTTGGGGCCAATTGGGAGCGCGCGTTGCAGTTTGCAGTCTGAAAAAGAGAAGCGCGTCGCCGTGCAGTCAAGACGTGCGCTTTTCTGAGATTTTAAGACTTGGTCGGCAGGCAGGCAGGCGGGCCGGCGGACAGCCAGACTGTAGACTACTCTACGCTCCAATTAAGCGCATGTTTAAGCGACTTTAAGCAAATTTGGCTCGGTAGCTAAGAGAGCAATCGAACGTTTGCTTTTGTTTTTTTTTTATCGATAATAAAAATGAACAAAAACACTATTAAATATAGTACAACCAAAGAAGGCGATCATTAAGTTGGAGAATTAATCAGCAGTGGCGATGGCTACATACAGCTAACAAGAGTGCATATGTACATACATAAATAGTTATTTATAGACAACTTATGCACTGTGATGTGAAAGTAATGACTCAATAGTCGCGATTTCCGAGTTTAACTGGAAGACGGAAAGCGAGAGGTGAGAAGGTTGCACTGGCAACAGTTGGTGTAAGACTCATTTGAGTTTTTCTAAACTACACTAAATGCCAATAATAATATTTCCATAATTGTTAT